AACAATTAAATTCAATAGACTACCAATCATTTGATGAATCGTTCGTTGATCATCATCAGCTCGTTTGGACAATTGCTCATGTTTTTTTACCACCATGCACTGTAAAAAATAAAATGTGTCACTAGGTGTGTAAATCTTCTAAACGTTCACTCGACATCGAAGAGTGTGTACCCTCTCTAGATGGTCAGCCTCAGTATGTAATGAGCTATTAGCACATTACACACTGAGGCTGACCATCTAGATAAATCTTTTTCTAAATCCAAAAGATTTCGTTTTTTGTATTTTTCTCTCGAACTACGGTATCAAATGAAAAAATGATTTCAGAATCATGATCACCATCTTCGAAAGTATATATGCTGTCATTGCCAGAAAAAACGGATAAGAAAAAAAGTGAAAAAGAAAAATGTCGCCATATGGTGGATTTGAACAATCGATTGATGAATTTGAGACATTTTCAGCATAAATAGTCTAGATAAGTAGACTAGCATTGGTCTCAGTGTGCAGAGCAAGACGGTCACTTCTCAGTGTGTACTTTACACTCAAGCCGTACATTCTAGATGGTCACTGGGAATCAACCTGGCATTCACTTTATGTGTGTTCTGTACACACTTTATCTTTTACAGTGTGGTTTTGCTCATGTAGATATGGTCTCAAAGAAATACTCATGTATACATGCAATTGGCTTAACGATAATGTGAAGCACAAGACCTGTTCCACAACTTATTGGTAAATGAAGAGAAAAAAAGAGTAAAAAAAAAAATTAAACTAGCACTACAACGAGCTAGAACTCGTTCTCTTATTTTTACATTTGTGTCATATTCTTGTAAATAACAAAGTGTTGCAAATGGTTTTGCATTGAAGAATATCTTTGCCAAAGACTGTGTAGAGAATCTTTATTTTTCCCTGAAACTAAAATAAAAAAAGTCTAGTTCTTAACCATAATCACAAGTCTTCTCATCATTTTAAGACCAATCTCAGTCTTGTGGCACCTGGAATAAGGCAGAAGTCTGGAAAATACTTTTTAAAAAAGTGATCTTGAGAAAAACGGAAAACACGTTTGGACTTTAACAATTGAGTTTTTCTGATGAGAAAAGTGGAGTAGGAAATAGCTGAGAGTAGTTTGCTATATGTTATCGAATATGATACATTGCATGGACATGTGCAGACTCATGTGCGGCATATTCTTAGGTTGATAAATTCAATAACTGAAAAATGAAACAAAGCTGATATTTTTGCTTTCAAAGTTTTAGAAAATCTTTTAAAACCGCTCAAAAATCATCATCCAAACCAAAACAATGGCGCGTTTGAAAGTACATACTTTGGCCTGTCGAATCATGTATAAATTTCAAAATCGAATTTTTTGACGGGAAGAACCCTTAACACAATTGTTAAATATGTTGTTTTCATCATATCTGAAGAGTCTGCTACCACATGAATTGAAGTATCATAGATCCTTTACGAAATTCTAAATAAATTAAATTGTAAATTCTTCTTTCCATCCGCTATTTTACAGAAAATTAAAAAATTGTTAAGTGGTACGTGAATCTTCAGAAGATAAACCACTTATCCTATGAGAAATAATCAATTCTTGTGACAGTTCGAAGTGGGTACTTTGGGAACTTATAGTGATTGTTCCCATTTAAATGTTTGTGAATGTTATTTGGAAACAGAGCTGGAACCCGGTTAAGAAACGGTAAACCGGTTCGATCCGACCGATCTGGCCGATAAACTGGTTGGAATTACAACCGAAACCAGCGAGAAAAAGGCAAAAAACCTGACGGAGTTTTTTGAAAATCGATTTTCAGAAAGAATTTCCAACCAGAATTAACGCGTCCATAACATTTAACCTAAAACAAGTGATGGAAATAATATCTGTCTTGAGCATCGTCTTATTTATTCTGGCTGAAAAAAGACGTGAAATTTTAGTTTTTTGACGACAAACAGGGTAAAAAGAACAGATGTTTCAAAAGTTTCAACCGGTGAAACACCGGTCTCTACCGACCCGGTTGACCTTTTCAACTGGTCCGGCTGGATCGGTTCGAGCTCTGTTTGGAAAGACACCGGCTTTTAAAATTTCAAGTAATTAGCTTTCTGTTATAGGCTAAGATAGAGATTTATAAGGCGCCTCTGACTATATGCTTCTTGGGACTTGACACTGTATGGTTCCTGTGTAAACTAAAAAGTTTGGGTACTGCATACCTATATGATACCCTGTAATAAAAAAGTTTTTTTTCAATGTCCTTCTACTTTTTTAACAAACACCTTTTACCGTTGGATAGACGAGATGATCGTGCATTTGCGCATGTCATTGGTCTATTCAAAATTAAGGTACACTTTTGACACAGGAATACTACGTTAGTAAAATCGTTCTACGCAAAACACGATCAAAGACTTAAACTTTATTTTAGTCTCATTTTGTTTAGAATTCAATTCGCTCTCTTGTATGATTGGGGTAGAATGCGAGTGAGAAAAAATAAGTTTTCCGCAAGGAGTTAGTCCTCTTATTTTCTATTTTTCCCACTTCTTTCTTAAAAACATTTGAGTAACACAGATCCAGTTTTGTCTGCTAATTTCAAGTATGCCTTCATTTTCCATTGAAGAGGTGTAAGAAGTGGGAAAAGTAGAAAATAAGGGGGCTCCTACTAATTTTGAATAGACCAATGACATGCGCAAATGCACGATCATCTCGTCTATCCAACGGTAAAAGGTGTTTGTTAAAAAAGTAGAAGGACATTGGAAAAAAACTTTTTTATTACAGGGTATCATATAGGTATGCAGTACCCAAACTTTTTAGTTTACACAGGAATCATACAGCGTCAAGTCCCAAGAAGCATATAGTCAGAGGCGCCTTATAAATCTCTATCTTAATCTATAACAGAAAGCTAATTACTTGAAATTTTAAAAGCTGGTGATATCCTTTCTAAAAGGCGTAGAAAATTGATATTTCCAAAAATACTTAATTAATATGAAATTTAAGAAGCAAAAACGTTCATAGACATGTCATATGAAGCAAACATTTGTAATTTAAATCAGACATTTCACAGTTTAGGATGTTCTCACATTTGTATTGAAAGCCTAAAAATCTGCACTATTGATACATGGTCTTAAAAGTGTTGTTCTTCGAGAATAGTTCGCCAGTTTCTCGTTTGTGTTACACGCTGAAGAGCTTGAATTAGTTTTAATTTGTAGCTAACACATGCAGTCATAGGCGAATAGAACCTGACTTTTGAAGTTTTTATAATGAGGGAATTTTTTGAAGGAACTTATAAAGTATTTTTAGAATTTTGTTTTCACAGTTTACAGTCTTTTGGTACTTTTGCATGACAAAACCTCAAAAATCGGGTCCTTTGAACCTCTAATCACATGAGTTTACTTATTCTCATATCAACCCAAGCTTCTAGCGTTAAATAGAGCGGTGAAATTTGAAAAATACGAGCACCTTATTTTATTTCTTGTTATAACGATATCTGGTAAAGACAGATCGCTGATGCATTAAGAATTTTATCATAACAACAGAATTAACATTTCATGAAAGTTTCGTCTACATAGAAATATTAATACCACAGGATTCTCATTATATAATAGTAGGAAGTAAAGACATTGAAGAATAGAATTTTCTATGTTTCTTTCTATTACCCCTTGATTTCTCAAATTAACTACTTAGTTATTATAGAGAAGTGTTAGTTGGTTAACATTTCATTATTGACTGTCACGAAATCTATTTTAATAGATAAACACATGTTTTCATTCAGCATTAGTCATACAGATGAAACTTGTAAAATATGTTTTACATTTTTTGATACTAATTTAAATAAAAAGCAAAGTCTAAATCTGAAAAGATATACAACCATAATGTTCTTTCAACTTATTTAGGGACTAATGTTAGGAGAAATAAAGTTCATTTTAAACATATTTTAACATTGATTCAATTAGAAGAATTTTATATATTCAGAGACAACCATCCTCATTAGTGACATTTTCAAGAAAAGATGACGTGTTTTTACTGAACTTGAAGAACGGCCATTTTTTAATTTTATTGGCCCATTGAATTAAATTTTCTCCTTCTGACAAGTGAGATGTCATATGGTTTTGAATTTTTCTCTGATGTACATATGTGATATTTATTTCATCTTTCTTAATCGTATGAATATATAAACTACATTTACAGAACAATTTATTTATGCCTAACATTTTTTTACCTTTTTGTATTTTAAAAGATTAAATTTGTTCATGCTTCAAAACATTGCATGCTGTCTAAAATTGTTATAACCGTGAGTTTTCTCATAAGCCGATTCCACAGCTGATCGATGTCAAACAAATATTAAATCATCTAGTTGCAAATGAAAAAAGGTAACTTTTATCATTTTATGTTTATGAATTTTATTCTAAATAAGCAAAATACATCAACACAATAAATAATTATATCCAACATAATTACTTTAAGCTTATTTTTATTAATTTTTTTTTCATGCTGTCGATGTCTGCTCTTCCAGATGGTTTGTTGGAACTTGTTCTCTTGTAGCACGCAGAACAAATCTTTCTCACTCTTTGGTTTTTCTAAAATAGAAAAAAAAAAAGCAAGGAATTCTTTTTTTCTTCTGAAAGAAATGCCGCCATACATGTCTTCATTTTGATATTTTACAATTTTTTTTCTCATGCTGAACTTACCTTCCTGCTTTTTCTTTATCTCTAATAGTCTGACGAAGGGGATAAATGCAGAAAGTTTTTCTTATTAAATTCCGGTGTTTTATTTATTTTTTCTTATTACGTAAAGAAAAAAAAGAAGAAAGAAAGAAGAACTGAAAAACTGTGCACATTATTAAGACAAAATCTTCCAGTTAAATTGGAGTCTTCTTTGATAGTACGATTCTTCTCATCTGTAAACTGTGATATTGATACTCAATGATACTCCTACATGCTGTTCAATAATTCAAAATTTGGCTCATCGATTATATTTTCGAATGAATGTTCTCGAGCTAATAGAATCAACGGATTTGGTAATGGTATAGTGTTTTGTGATCGTCCTCTTAGCCAGTTTCAAAAATTAACGTTTGAAATAAATCAGATTGACATATGGAAAGGGTCTCTACGTCTCGGTTTAATAACTAGTCCATTGTCAACAACCGATGAACTACCATTAACAAGTATACCAACATGGGTGAAGAAAGAGGGCTTTTATATTATTTCATTAAATACGTTTGTAAATTTAAAAAGTGGCTGTAGAATTAGTGTATGGCTTACTGATTCAAATCAATTACATTATGCTGTGAATAATGTTGTTCGGGGAACATTATTAGACTCTCTTCCACAAAACACTCCATTATGGTTATTCTTTGATATTTATGCCAATACAACAGCAGTTCAGTTAATTAATGGTAAACTTTTATATGATTTTAAACTTGAAGCAAATATTTGAGATGAAATAGTGACATCTTTGTTTTTAAATTTTAGACGATGCGCCATGGGAAATAAAAGCTCGTGGAACTGATGCTATTAAACATTATCAATCTGCTTGTGACAACGGCACAGTACCTGTCTATCGAACATTGCTAATGATCGTTGGCCAAAAAAATTGTGGAAAAACAAGATTAAAAAAAATGTTGTTAAATGAAGGGTATGATTGATTTTCTCGTTTGTATTCATATTTCCACTTATCTTAATTGACTTTTTTTTTTATATTCATCAAATCTGAAATTAATTATCATTTACTTGCAAATTTCCGGTGATGTTGGAGGATGGGGTTTAAAAAAGATATTTGAAGACTTTCTTCTGCAAGAAACATATCTCGATAACCATAACTCAGACATTGACAGAATTTTCAGGAAATACTGAACAAAATATGGTCATGAAATCTGAATTGAATTTCATCTACAGTACTCTGCAACAGTAGTGACATCCCTGTAACTCAAGAACCATGATAGCTAGGGACTTCTAATTCTATGTAGTCATGGCTCTTATCGAATTCTGATCACCCACCAAGTTTGGGCCTCTTTTACTGGATGATTCGTGAGATATAAGCGATTTATTTCTTTTCCGTAAAATATCAATAACTCCTGACCTGTGAGAGATGCAAACTTTTTCTTTGTACTAAAATGTAACCCTACCTATAGTATGAATTTCGTGAATTAGTTGTTAATGGTCAGTGCCATATAGCTATTTTACGGACGAGAATCGTTTTTTTTTTGTTGAAAATTCGAGGTCGTTTGCGAAAAAAAACTCACAAATCAGTCTAGAAGCATTATTTTGACTTCGAATTCGCACCAAATACTCTACAGTGTCTGTAGATTATCCAGCCCAAGTACGAAAGGTTAACTATTGTGTGATTCTGAAAATTCATTGAGAATGAGTACTCACGATTGAAACATACGTGGAAAAGTAAGGGTGAGGAACTAAGAGTTGCTCTTACATTTAATGTACATCATAATCAAGAAAAAATAATCATGGAAACTATGGTTCTAAAAACGTAGCTGAAACTTTTGTCAGAAAAATTACACACGCACCTCTAACCAGAGAAAAATTTTTTAATGAAATTTATTTGTTCAATACCCGAATGTTAAGTAAACGGGGTGGACACATTACAAGACCTACGCACAATGAAAAAAAACCTAAATAGAAGACCCCTCTTGAGCAAGCATAGTTTGATCTTTAGACATGGGAAATAGCAACAGAAATTGTGTAACGGAGTCGGATTTCTATATTCTATTTCGAAATTTTTCTAGAAGCATTTCAAGTCAAAAACTCAAAATCTCTTTGATAAAACCTGAATATTGACAAAATAGTAGCTCAAATCGAACATTTAGTTCGGATATATTATTACCGCGACTTTTAGCTTTAGCTAGAGGCCAACCCGAATCATCTAACACATAATTTGCCGAAGAAATCGTTCTAACGGTGTTCGTCACCAACAGAAAATGGGGTTAGTGTATGGTGCATACAATACAGTTCTCATAGGTTTTGATCAAACCATTATTCACCGCTGGCAGGCATCTCATATTGATTAGAAATGTTTGCTCTACAAGCTCCCATCAGTAGTAATATTTTTGGCGTCGTTTTTTTATGTACAGATGGATTCTAATAGTGAACACCTTGGACTGTCTGATCTTATGCTTAGCTTAATAGAATTTTTATGACTATATTATATTTCTGATAGAGAAAGCCTTAAGAAATAATCATTCGTGTTCAAGGACAATTATCTCGATAATATTAAGACAGACACTTCCGAGCGTAAAAAAAGAAGTATAAACTGCATCGTATAAAAATAGGAGAGTCAAACGGTCTTTGTTGTTTTATTTTAGACGTGATAAATGTCTTCAAGAATCCATCGATCTTTCATCGTCTTGTTCAATAAACATTGATGAATCTCGTACATGGACTATAATAGGATTGAACAGTGAACATGAGCCAAATCAAACGAATCCCAGTCATTTGCATGTTGAAGACTTAGGCAAATGATTTTAACATCCAGCATATAAATTTGTTCGTAATTGATGATTTCGACTTTTTAGTTGTGAAAGATGTTGACGACATCCAAGAATATGATAGTTCTCTTATATATAATATTGTACTTAATCTATTAAAATGTCGATGTGCTCATACTACAGATAAAAAAGATAAGGTAAGAAGAAAAGTATTGCGCTATTTGTTAAACACTCATTTTTAATCACCGCTTCATTTTTAGTCTTGGAAAGATGGTTTAATTGAAGATTTTAAGGCCACCTATTCTACTTTTAATGTTCCGGATACAATACGAACATTGATCATACAGCATATTAGACAAATGAAATATTCTGATGCACAATCAGCTTTGACCTTTCTAATGGAATCATCAAAAGCTAAAACAATAAATTCTGTCGTCAGACGACAATTACACATTGATATGTGGGATTTCCCTGGGGCAACATTTTGCTATTCAACTCATCAGGTGATATAAAACTTCTGTAGTACATCAGTAGACACTTATAAATTTTTTTCTCTTCAGATATTTTTATCATCTCGTGCTGTATATTTATTAGTATTCGATTTAACAAAAGATTTTGATAGTTTGGCTGATTCTGGTTACGAATATCAATCTCAGGTATATACCAAGGTTTAAGAAAAACTTGCTCAAAGACTCGTTTGTTTTTCGCTTTTAACAACCAAAAACGCGTCAAGTCTTCTCCCTCCTGGTCAGAAATGATGATTTTCGTCAAAAATACCAATTTTGAGAGAAGTCCATGAAAATATACTATCGGGTGTTATCTTTCAAATGCACTAATTCTTATTGGCTTAATAACGGATTTTAGTGATTTTTGACAACTTTTTCTGACAGTCCTGTGAAGATGTATATGTCAGAAGCTTCAAAGGTTAAAAAATAGTGATGTGAAAAAAACAGCCACACACGCATAAGTATTCATGGTATATGTGCGAGCATATGCACATCAGACTCTCCATGCTCGAAAACCTATAGAGAACTTCACTGAAATTTTAGCGGCCGAATCAAATCAAAGGAGAAGTGGTTTTCAAAGAAAAACAGTATTTTGCGTTTCGCTTGAACTTTTTTGCTCTATGAAAGTCACCCGCAGTGGAACATCCAGGCGGACATTAGGTGGAAAATTGAAAGGGTGCCTTTTCTGGATTCAAATAGTGGAATATGCACTCCAGTTTATGAAATATTTAATCGCATAAAAAGGTTTGTTCTTACTACCGAAGATCATGGGGAAGCACATAGTCTCAACAAAAAGTCTCACAAAAACGCATTATTATAACGTCTTGAACGATAAAAAATGTATTGAAATGGCTGTTTTACCGACCATCTAAGGATTTTTGTTGCCTAAGATAATGCCATCGATAAATATGCTACAATGTTGAATTTCTTTATAGAAAAATAAAGATTTAACAAACTTAGATTATTTAAATTTCTGGGCACATTCAATCTATTGTCATTCTGCAAATAATTCGATTACTCTGAAATCGGGGGAACAAAGATTATCACCACCAATTATTATTGTTGGAACACATCGAAATTCACTTTCAGAAGATAAAAACAGATTGGTATGTATGAATAATGAACTTTATAAAAGAATTGAATCTTCAGGATTTCTGAGAATTGTAAAGTTAATTCTTCTTATATTCTAGATCAACGAAAAATTTATAAAGCTACAAGCAATGATCTCAAAAAAGCCATACGCAGCGCATGTAATTGAACCTTATTTTGCTGTTGAAACTGTCAACACAGACCTAACCGATATTGAAACGGTAATTAATGCCTTTTATCAAAGATGTATGGATAGATGTTAAAGCTCTTTCGACTGTTCTAGATCGATAAACTGAAGAAAGTTATTGAACAAGTTTGTTTCGACGAGCCCTATATGGGTGAACAACAACCAGAAAATTGGGTACGTTTTGAAACGGCGTTGAACAATTTGAAAAGACAAGGAAATTTTTATGCCTCACTCGATCAAGTAAGTACTATACTAGTGTTTAAATGATGAAAACATAAGTTTCTGAGAAATTTTTAAGGTTTGTGAGATTGCTCGTGAAGAAAATATTTGTTCATCGGAAGAACTCAAAACATTGCTAGATTTTTATCATGATGTGGGAATAATTGTCTATTTTGGAAATACACAAGATATGTTTTTGAAAAATACGCTCATATTGCGACCACAAAAATTAATTGAAGTAATTAGACGTGTTATCTATGATGAATCGAATGTAAGTTGATGATGAGTCTGAGAGTGGAATATTCAACGATAAATAATAATTTTAGAGTACAATGGATGCAATGGTAATAACATCAGCTACTACAAGTAAACTGTCCACAGAAGATGGAATACTAGATGAACGATTATTTGATATATTATGTCAACCTTATTTTAATCAAAAAAATTGCCTATTAGGTTTAATGAAAAAGTTTGATTTGCTTTGTGACAGAAGTTTACCGATACAAGTGAGTTATAAAATTATTCATATAGTTTTTATTACTAATTAAATTGATATTTTCAGGGTGTTACATCGAGAACATTTAAAGAATATATTGTTCCAGGTCGTGTAAGAAATATTTACAATGAACAACAACAATTAACAGATAAAGAAGAGCAATCAGTTATATTCTATTATGATTTTCATGGATTTTTTCCAGGTAAAAATGAATTATATTTGAAATTAGTCAAAAAAATGGCATTATTCTTTGTTTTTTTTCTGGTTAGAAAGTTTATTTCATCGAATATTAGTTCGAACAATAAGATGGACACAATCTCAGAATACATCACAAACACCAAAATTACATTATAAACGTGGACGATTTTTTCTTGATGATGATCATGATTTGATTTTGACATCGGCACCTATACGATATGCACGAATGAAAGTAAACTGTTTATTTCTTAATCTAATTGATATTAAAAATTTATTTTTATATAAATAGGTACAAATTATTCGTATTCAAACATATCATACATCTCTATATCCTGAGCCGACAATGGTTGCGAAAGTAATTTTATTTCTCACTAATCATTTAAATCAAATCATTGACATAATAATTAATATTTTAGGTGCGAAAATTTTTTGAAACATTATTAATTAATTTTCGTGATTCATGGATTAAACGTCTTTCTTCTTCTTGCGTGGTTTTGTGTCCTTGTGGAAAAATTTGTGATTTTCACAAAGCACCTTATTGTACCAACGATTTTTGTCTACACTTTTTAAATCTTGACGAATGCTTATCAAATTCGGTTAGTTAATAGTATGAAAAATATGTTATTATCATGTAATAAAATATTTTGATTGTAGATCGTCAATTGTGGTTTTAGACGTATATCAACAGCGTGTTTTAAACAATGGTTTCCAAATGTTACATGTACAGTTTCACACAGTCCTGTTATTGAAAAATTACATGAATTAAGAAATAGTTTTTATGATGAAGCTACACTTCCATTATGGTTACGTTCAGCATCAAAACTTTTAAATGTGACTAGTGATGAAAATGATTGGAGTTCATTAGCGAAAAAACTGGGCTATCAAAAAACAATAATTGATCACTTTAATTCAGATGGAAATCCATCTTTACAATTAATGACTGATTGGATTGTGCGTAGTGGAAATACGACATTAGGATTAGATATGTTACTAGCACTATTGAAACAAATTAAACGAGATGATGTAATTGAAACGATTAATGAAGGACGTGGTAAGTAATCATTAATCAGTTCAATACTGTCTTTCGTTACTGATTGCTTTTTTTTTAGAATCTCAACATACTCTACCACCAGTATTTATCAGTTATAACTGGGATATACAAGACGAAGTCAAGGAGCTAAGAAACTTTTTAGAAAAATGTGGTTTCTCATGTTGGATGGATATTGGTCAAATGGGCGGTAAGTTTTCTTCTGACTTTCTTAGATACCATCAAAAACTAACATTTATTTGGTCTTTTCGAGGGGGAGAATTATTATATGAAAAAATTGATCATGGAATACGTAATGCTAAAGTAAGTGTTGGAAAAAACAATCAAAAATATATAAATATTAAACGCTGTTCAATAATACACGTCTAATATTATAATTTTTTTTTGAGGTAATTATTTGCTGTGTCACTCCAAAATATATTGTGTCTACGCTGTGCCAGAGAGAATTAATATTAGCTGATTTATTAAAAACACCGATTATACCAGTTATGTTTGAGGATACTCCATGGCCTCCATTCGGTTCTCTTAGCATTGTACTGTCACAATTGGTATATGTCGATTTAAAAGGTAGCATAATTGCCTAATAAACTAGTTCATATTGTAGATCACGTCATTCGCCTTTAGGTGTTGGTGGTCACGGTGGAAGTGGCAAAAAAGCTGATCTCCAACAACGTTACAATGAGATCGTCAGCATCGTAGCTCGTTATGCTCAATCCACTTCTCCTGCTACACTCAATAATTATATAACTCAAAAGAGTTCAGCTCGACCAACACTATTACGTTTACACTCGGATTCTCTAAATTCAGATATAAGTGAAAACACTACGCCCAGTACTCATTCGGCGCCTCATTCGCCTAATGAAGCGACACATGATGGAGCAAATCATCAATCATTTCGGATAAGAAGTACATTTAATGTTAATCAACAACAGCCACATCAAGCACGAGGATATGCTCAAAATCCCCCTCTAAATGGTGGAAGTGGCAGTAGTGCATTAAGAACTGATCCAAATCATATATCCTACTGTTCCGTTTGTACAATAATCTAGTTCAGTTTCATTTTTCTGCTTCTGTATATAAAATTTGCTATTTTTTGTATAAAACTAAGGTTTCTCATTGCGTCCATTTCAATAAATTTTGTATTTCAACCATATTGAATCGATGATATTGTTATTATGATATTTGCATTATGCACTGGTTCTAACAGCCATTGTTTATCAATTTGTATCTGAGCAATGAAAATAATAGACAGCTGGTGGTGACTAGTAAATTGCTAACAGTTGCATTTAATTCTCATTCAGTTTCTTATAAAACAGCTTCTTTTTCTGTGTTTGTTTGTGATAAAACTTACGCTTCTCTTGAAAGAATGAATCGAAGGTTGCTGATAATTTTTATTAGTCTGTTATCTTTATCTGTGGTAGTTATTTGCGGGGACAACCAACCACATGCGTCCGGAAAGTCTGAAAAACAAAAAAAATCCCCTGCGAGTCATGGCCAAGACCATTATGATAAAGAAAGAAGACAAGGCGATCATTCAGCACAATCACATTCAAACAAGGATAAAGATCATAAGAAAGTAAACAATCGAAAATCTGATTCTACATCGAGTGAAGAACAAGGAAAGTATCCTGTGCGTCATGGACAAGCTGATTACGATAAAAAAAGAAATCAAGGCGATCATTCAGCACGATCACATTCAAACAAGGATGCAGCTTATAAACAAGGAAAGGGTCGAAAATCTGGTTCTAGATCGAGTGAAAAACAAGGAAAGTATCCTGTGCGTCATGGGCAAGCTGATTATGATAAAAAAAGAAATCAAGGTAAGCATTCAGCACGATCATATTCAAACAAGGATGGAGCTTATAAACAAGGGAAGGGTCGAAAATCTGGTTCTAGATCGAGTGAAGAACAAAGAAAGTATCCTGCGCGTCATGACCAAGCTCACTATGATAAAGAAAGAGATCAACGTGAACATTCAGCACAAGCACGATTAAAGGCGGATGAAGAACAGAAGAAAGTAAACGGTCAAGAAATTTATTCTAAACTCGAAAAGAAACAACGAAAGAAGTTGAACGACGGTCAGGTTCACACGCATTATGCTGGAGATCACGAACCGAACAAACCTGGATTCAACGATAACATTAATAATATTGATCGACTATATAAAGATGCATCAAAGGTAGCCCCTGATCAAAAATCATCTGATTTCGAAAATGATATAAAATTAGCTAAAAAAGCTGAACTTGTCGATTTAAATAGTAAAAGAGTAAAAAATGATTCATTGACGGAAGATTCACGTGTAAAGAAAGTATTGGATCGTAAGTAAAACTTGTTTTATAAAACTGATCTGTATCATTTATTGTACGATTTATTGTTTTAGCAATAAACAAAACTGACACGAATGTTTTAGCTCAATTAGGAATTGCTAAGTTGATTCAACCGAATAACAATGGTGATCATAATCAACAACCAAACGGTACACATCCTGAAGCAAATTACTTGCAAAGTCAAGTAGCTAACATCAATAAGGCCATTGTGGATAATGATAATGTAGATAGTACTGGTTATCTACGTTTTGCTGATGCTGATCAAGATAAACAGAAGAACGTTGATAGTGTAGTAAAACAAACTGGTGAAAATAAATTGATTAAACTTAAACGAATGGAATATATTTGTCATATGAAAAATGTTACATATAATTTGGAATGGTCTAAGAAAAATGGTACATTTTTTTTACGATTTGAAAGTGATATTAGAGATATGTTGTCTAGTTCTCTATCGGTTGATGCTAAAAATCCATTATACGCATTAAACCTGAAAGAAATTCGAAAAGAAGAAAATGATGTCAAAGTAATAGTTGAATTAACAATACCAAAAGACGGTGTACCCACGCTCATTGTTTCCGTCAAACATGTGTTAGTCAAAGCTATTACAGAAAAATTAAAAATTAAATTGACAAAAGATAATTATAAATTTTCAACAGATGGTCATTTTTACATAACAATAGAAAAAGCATTCTTTAGTGAATATTTATCAAAGGATAGTATCATTCATCAAAGTTTTCAACAAGAAATCGAACATGTAGCAGTCAATTGGTTTAATAGAAACGATAAAACAGTTGAAAGTATTCAATTATTAGAAATACAAGCGATTGATAAAGATAAATTTCAATTTTTAATTGAAGTACAATGTGAAGACTCAGTGACATCACAGTTATATACTGGATTAGATGTATTACACAATCATCTTAAAAAATTAACACAACGTTACATCGATGCTAAAAATGCAAAACAACCATTTTATAAACCTTTTTATGCTGATATATTTATAGTAAAAATTAATATTGACGTTCGTGTAAGTGGTTTTACAACGTTAACAAGTCAATCACTTCGTAAATATCATGACGCAGTATTAAGTTTAAAAGATTTAAAAAGCGATGATTTAGCTGATTATAATGTGGAAAACTGTTTTGAAGACAAGGGTGACTTAGTAGTTCGTATTAATGTGCAACCTAAATCACGACCATGTTATGAAATATACGACAATATCAGAGACGTTATAACTAATGTAGCAACTAGTTTAGGAAACAAACAAGAATATTTAAAATTTAAAGTTAATACCGGTTTAAGTGTTGAATCAAAAAATCAATATATTCAATCCAAATATCACGGAAAAGTTAAAAAAAATTCTGCATTGTATAAACAAATTCAATTGATATTCAACGATTATCTGTTACGTCTTTATACACATAATTATTGGTCATGTGATGAAATAAAAAAGGACAATGACAAACAGTATGCAGTGGCTAAAGTATCACCGATCAAATCTATAAAATTGTTAAAACTTTCTATAAATTCTGATGCATTAACTATCAGATTTGATGTGGCTATTAACGGAATATTAGAACGATCATTAATGGCAATATTGGATGTTATTCTTAGTAATCGCGTACCATTATTATTTATAGAGAAATATAAATATATTGTCAATTATTCGTTTAAATATTCAGGTGTGCCATGTATCGAATCTGCATTAGACAAACAACATACCAATGTATTACGTACAAATGTTCAGAAAGAATTGACAGACTTGGTAAGTTAGATTAATATTTCGATTAGTTTTGCTAATATTATTTTTTATTATTAGCTTGTTGACGTTGGATTTCAAACAGTAGTGGATCATATTGATGTTGAAATCAAAAAATCACCATCGAAAGGTTTTATAATTATTGCAACATTATCAACTGATGATGAAGGCAAATGTTTACTTGATGCGTTTGGTGGTCCATGCGAAAATTTATTAAATGAAAAATTGAAAAAATCTTCATGCAATCTGGTTGTAAGCAAAAAAGAATCAAGTATTAAAAGCTTTTTTAAAAAATTTTTTTTTAAATTATGATGATATCTAATCAACTAATATAACATATGCATTATTTTACATATTATTATATTGTGGTGTTTTTGTGTATAAAATACAAAATAATGAATTAGAAATAATCTCACACCTCCTTCCTGTATCTGAGAATCCATATAAAGTAGGAAAAGGCTTAACTCTTGGCATTATTCACATGAACTATCTCATATGAGCCTAAAGATATAGGGCGGAGAATATTCTTTTGACTATTAGTGTATATCAGGGCTCGAAACAGGCCGACAATTTTGAGGCCTGGTCTGCCTGCGTTAGGCCTGTAATGTTTAGATCTGCCTAGGCCTGTCGAAATATTTTTTTTTTGTTCAAGTATTTTCTGAACTGATCTAACTAATAAGATATCCTCAACCGTGTCAGAATTTAGTGATCTATTTCAGTCTAGTACATAGTTTCACACTGTGAAACTCCCATATCATAACGACATCTACAGCCGAAATGCTAGATTATGAATAAAAATACGCAAATTTCCTGGGCTAGGCCGCCTGGTGTTTTCAAAGGTCTGCCTGAATCTATTTCACTCTAGGCCTGGTCTGTCTTAGCCTGGTACAGGCCGATAATTTGTAGCCTGGTCTATCTGTAACAGGCAGGCAGGCAGGCTGCCTGGCTTGTTTCGAGCCCTGGTGTACATGTTTCAATTACTCATTTTTAGAACATACGAAAAATACAAAAAATGCTGAAAAACATATATGTAAAAACTTGAGATTTTCCAATGGCTTTTAACATTTTTTGAATATTTCGAGAAGAAAAACATTTTTTTAGAAGAAAAAAAATGAGAATCTGAGTTAAGTTCTTAGTTATCTGTGGTAAAAAATTCGATTCGATCGAATCATTTTTTCAACGGATCATAACGTTTCTGGATAAAAATGTCTATAAAACTCACAGAAGAACATGTCAGAATATTCTGGGCATTGATACATACTTTCTTTTTAGATGTTCTATCTTTGGTAAAAATTCTACCGAGTTCTACATATCCCAACATAGTTAATAAAGAGAAGAAACTACCCTTAATTAATTTTGTTAAAAAAAGTTTAAAAATATAATCAATTAAAAATAAGAATTATGGTGACATTGATCATTAATTACAAAAAAAGTATGATCAGATATCTTCTTTTTGTCTATTAATCATATGTATACAATCGTCAAGGCCGGTTAAAGTACCATAGATTATTTTCTTAAATTCTTTCCGTATGATACTCGTTAGAATAGTTGAAAATAAAATAATTGGATAAACAATAAGTGATGATGGTTGTCTACATTGTAAGATTATATTAATTAATTGTGACAGTAAAAGACTGAATATATAAGCACATAGTGATTGAATATAGTATACTCGCGATTGAATACCATTACAAATATCAAACAATCGACAAAAATTTAATAACAACGACGGAAATAAAATATCTGTAATAATTAGATAAGATTGTCCACCTTCAAACTCACATTTTTCTTTATTTGGTAGTAAATCAGGATATATGAATACAAGAGGTAACGATTCACGAACAATAAACGGTATTTTAATATTACTCCATGAGTAATCTATTCGTCTATTATCAAACTAGAAAGAAAGATATATATCGACTAAAACTATACAGGTTCATTTAGTGTGAACATACCATTTTACAGTGAAGTCCTTTTAGAAACTGTAGTGGTCTTGTCCAATTTGTGTCAGTGTTGTATTTGAATGTATTAAAAGCAGTAGAATTGATAGTGATTAAATTTAACTGTGATGCAGTACTATAACTAAATACATCGTTATTTAGACAAAACATTTTATTATAAAATTCTGTTACATATGTTGGCAATAGACTAAAAGATAAATCATAAATGAATAACGCTGACAGAATAATAATACAAACAAGTAAATTAGCCGCTTTCATCTGTATGCTTATCAATAATGTTAGACAAAATGCCAAAATATTTGTCAATATCCAACCACGAGTGGTAAACCGGGTATAAAACCATATAATAACAAGTATGAACGATAATAACATGAGTATAATATGATATAAATTAACTAGAAAAAAATACCATTCAAAATTTTGGATGCTAAAGAATCCACTATTTTTCGATGATGTCATACTTACGAGGATAGTAAAAAGCCCTTAAAGGTAAAAATACTATAGTCTATTTTAATTTATGCTCATAAATATGAAGAGTGAACTACTGAATGAAAAACCATGATGATTTTTTAAAATAACGCAGTAAGTTTTTCAGGTAAGTGATAAATGGATTTTATTGTGAAGCTTCTTTGATTAAAGGTTACTTTTGATGCTACACACGAATGTATATCCATTCCGGCTTAATGCTGCTTTTTCCAGATGGATCTTTGAAAAGCTGGTCTTTAAAGTCCCGTTCTAAATTCCATGTTATCGGAAACTTGTTAAGTAACTCTTAAAACTTTTTTGTGTAACTCCTCCCATGAATTCCTCTGAAAGAGGAAGAACAAGAAGTAAAAGCTTGTACATGGAGAAATTGCTAGAAATCTGAAAATTTTACCCATCCCATACCGCCTCTCATCTGTCCCTAACGCTTGCGGATGTACAAGAATCCACGAACCATACTGAATACACATTGTATACGCGTATAAGTTAACGCGAACTAACTACTCGGGACATACATTTCATCCAGCCCCACCTTAGTCCATCGCGTCTGAATGGAGAAGTTACACTTTAGACCCAAGATCTATGCTGATAAGCTTTTCTACGAGTAATTTGATGAGATTTACAAACTGGACGGATCACAACTTGTTCATCATGAAGTTTAGAGTGGTTATTTAGAGATCAGCTTTTCAGAAATGAAAAAGCCGTATTAGTCGGAATGAATATGCATTCGTGTGTAGCGTCAAAAGTAACCTTTAATCAACAAGGCTTCATGAAAAAAACATTTATTACATGAGAATGTTTCCTTGTCAGAATCTTTCCACTTACTCGATTTCAAAAACGTTCCATCTTTATACTTTGATTGATATCGACATTTATTTTTTGCTCTACAATTGAATAATACATATGAATAACAACCATACTGGATGATAAACCATCGTATTAAATGCTCTAAGCAAACATAAATCACGAATGAACTAGTGAAGATAAAAATAACTAATACAACCTTTTGTAACGAGTAACTGTAATATCTATCAATTAATAAGACTAAAAGTAACAGTAGAATGATCAATACAACAGCAATTATACTGACAAATAAACCATGGTGACGTAAATAATAATTACAATATTTTTCATAGATGTTTGGATCGCGATTTGATGTACACGATGGCGATCGAACGTGAATATGTGATGTACTTGATTCTAATGTTGACATTATCTGAAGATTCGGTACTGTATTAGACAACATCACTGACATTTCCGCAGCATGAGCATTATTATTAACGTTATTCACGTTAGGATCACATAGAAAATTGTTCAGTAATTTCATATAATCACCAAATATGGGTGGACGTCTGTAAAATGTCGTACTTGCAGATGGACGAAGTATATCATCATTCTCAACTTCGATTAAGTCTAGTTTTTGACTATTTAAATTTTGTTCTTGATCAAGTTCCTGTTGAACAATTGTTAGAGGTGGAATTCTGATTAATTTCTTATGTAAATAGCGTCGAAGAGTTTTTTTCAAAAATATTACACGATGCCATTCATTAATCAATCCCATACATCCTAATACCGTTAAAATTATCATCATCAAACTCGGATCAAATCGTTTTCTTCTGATAACACGATATAAATTTGCCACTGTGTTTGGATTAATTACTAACATCTGATTAATTTTTGCCACTTCCGATGAATGAATAAATCCCACCATTGTCTCATTTGACCAATAATTCATTGAGTTCAACAACGGAAATTCATTCGTCCATAGAATATCATAAGTATTCTTTGATGTCCAATTTGTCATGTTTACAGGTAGTTCCATTTGAAATTGGATATAATTACTGATACCTTGTTGAAATGTTGACTTATTTGTTTCGGCTAAAATTTAACAAATAAACATCTCTTCGTTCGGAGAGATCCTAATGAGTCAGTTAAACTTGACTAGAAACCTGGAACCAACGATTTTTCATCATTTGTTTTCGTGTAAGTCTCACATATAAGGATGAAAAAGAAAACATAGTAAACCGTATTAGAGCGTTTTTTGCGAACATTAAGCGCTTTTCGGGATATTTGTTAGATTCAGATATCGAAATTTTAATTCAAACAATCTGACAGTTCTTTTTAATATTTGATCGAAACCCGATATGTCCCATATGTCAACCCGATCTGTTTCAGTATCTGGTATTCCTTGTCAGTATGTATTTAGACTTCCATTACTCACTAGAGAATATGATGGCAAAATAATTTGTTTGAAATGGATAATGTTTTAACACTGTCAATTGTTGAAGAAGGTGGCAAGCGGTGGATAACTTCAATATCAAAATGGTTTTAAACGTATTATTTCTCGTATTATTTAGATCGACAGTAATTGTTTCATTAAAATTGCAAATGGACGATGTTACTGCTAAATCAAATTTAACTTGAAGTGGAGATAATTTAGATGGAATATCTGGAAGATCAACATCATACAGATAGATGCAGATTGGTTGTAAATTGTTGAATACTAGATGACTTATGACACTGTCAGTGTAAATAATATGCTCGAAAAAGAAAGCGATATAGATCAGATTCATCTGTTTCTCAATTCAAATCAACTGTTCTTCATGGAACGAATAGATCAAATGACGTATTAATTAGTCGTTTATACTATTCCATAGAATACATATATACATAAAGATGTCACGTACAAATGTTAATGTCGATTCTAACGACTATTGTAATATTTTCAAGAATGAAACTGTTTTGTTAGAGACTGTCTTAGTAAAATATCAAAAAACAAGCTGCTTCTTTTCTCATTCACACGTTATTAAAAATACTTTAGACCTTTTCCTCTAACCATATATTTGGTTTAGATTACACTTTGTTTTTTGTTAGCACCTTTGAGAATTTAAACTGTAATTCACGGCTGTTCTTGTTCCAGTATTCACTTGTACACACAAATATGTTTGTTTCCAATATAGCCTAAGAGTTTGAATTCATATTACATTGTTTACACATACAAATATAAATTAGACTCAATTAATATCTCACAGTAAAATCTGTATTGAAAATCCTAACTTAAACTACAACGTGATATCGCTGTGCATTTTCTTTGAATTTGTATGTCAAGATGGTTGAGATCTAGTTGATTATCGCGAGTGGATGATGATGATCGTAGAATAATTTTGTGATCATTTTTTGTCGTATGATTGTTGTTCATTGTCGCTATTGAAATCAATTCCATTAGAGACTGCCGGTTTGATCGGGATAACATTTAAAGGTTTTGGAAAAGCCATTTTTGGGTGAAAAAGTTCGAGTTATTAGTTAAGGGTCGTCGAAGTCAATTTAGCTACTATTTTCAAAAATCTGCCTTTTTTTAGCTGAATCCCAAACCTCCCCAAACTACTTTTTTTCTTATTCCTTACAGTGTTTTAGATGCTGTTTTGTGAAAAATTGCAGGGCTTTCCTTCGTCAGGAGGTAAAACGAAGTTTTAAGTTTAAAGAGATTTTTGGGACAATATGGCCGTTTTTTGCACTTTCTATTACCCCCTTCTCCCTTACGGGTGGTTGGACGGACATCACACGAACGGTGTAGTGTCTTGTGATGTGTAACTGACTGTTTTACCTTCCTCTCTCGTTAGTGCCAGGTTCATCATCAACGACAACAGTAGCAGTTGTTGAAATATAAAGGTGTATTCGTACTAGAGAGAGAATCGGATGGTACTTGTGGCGTAGTTTAAGGAAAACGATAGGTAGACTAGTGAGCACTGATTATATATTTGTGCGTATATCCAGGAAGAAAGTTTTTACATGTTGGCCCCCTACTCTCTAAAAAAAAAGATTTGTGTATGAAAGCTAAAAGGGTATAGAGACGTGCAACCATTCCTAAACTGTTTTAGGTTTCGTAGAAGAAAAGGTAATGTACAAAACCGCTTTAAGTGTATTGAGATGATTGATCGGTGCATTTGCCTATTTCGTCATGTTTTTTCCTCATGACTTTCTCACAAAAAATCAAAAATTACACAAATTTCAAGTATTTTTGGCTCAGTTTTTGCTGCCCTATACTATGAAAGCGTGCCTAAACTGTTGAAATGGTGCACTCGCTCAAACCAAAAATTTTAGAAAAATAACTGATATAACCTATGCACTTAAAACAGTTTCGTACCCTAACTCTTCTTCTACGAAACCTAAAACGGTTTAGAAATGGTTGCACACCCTTTCAGCTTTCGTACACAACGAATAAGAAAAAAGTGGTTTTAGGATTTAAAGTAGTTATCCAGTTGAAAAAAAAGGCAGATTTTGGAAAATAGCCGCTAAGTTGACTTCGACCATCCTTAACAATAACTCGAATTTTTTTCACCCAAAAATGGCATTTCCAAAACCTTTAAATGATATTTTCCTATACAGTTTTACCTACTCTATCCAACCACAGAGCTGGAAAATATGTTTCTGTAAAATAGCCAAATATCATTTTCTGTAAAACTTCTCCAAATTTTCGCCGATGCTTCACCGGTTTTAATTATAATTCCAAACGACCAGTTTACTGATCGGGTTACACTTCCAGATCAGCCGAACCAGACCGGTTTACTGTTTCTTAACCGGTTCCAGCTCTGTTTAACCATGTCGAACAAAACACAAAAAAACTTTTGGTCGTTTTTTTGCATTTTTAGCACCTTACATAAACTCAAGTTATAGCAGAAAATATTTCTATAGCTCGTATTCAAAATAATCAATAGGAAAGGAAAAGAGTTGAACTTTAAATACGATGATCGTTACAGCAACGGTATTATTTTCTTCAAACGTCAAAAATACGAAAAAATTGAACAACAAAAGTATTAATGAACCCGCATATGTCAAACGATAAGAACGAAAAAAGAAAGATATGACGTTTCTTCTTTTCTACAATTACATTTTGGTTCACTGGTAGATTGAACGCAAAGTAGAGACACTATATGGACGAAGAACCGAAGAATTGTTTATAATGACCGATCTTTCTCTGTTTCATATGTCTCAGGTTAAATGACAATTGGTCGTTCTATGTAATATTCCATTCAATAAAAATGTGCCTAAATATTATTTATTGTATACATTCTATCACTAAATCATTTCGAAAAAAAATTTAAGAGAATAAACCTCCATTGCCATTCATTCTACACGCTGATATGATATGATATCTTTTTTACATCAATCCGTATTTTATAAATTTTATGACTTTGTTATAAATTATTTTTCATGTTTTGCAACGAATTGAAGTGAATGTCCTTCGATCACTGTTTTGATTATTTTAATGATTATAATCGTACAGATTTTTTGTAAGAGGATCAGTGAAATTCTTTATTCTGTATAAAGCTTGGAATATTGTTATTCTAGTATTTTTTTTTTATGATGAATTATATGTGAAGAGAAAGGTCGAACTCAGACGAATTCTATTTCTCTTCCATTCATTTTTAATATATATACATACAGGTACACATTTATTTGATATGTTATCGATTGCGCAATAAAAGAGAAGAAATGTTGACAAAAAAAAAATCAGAATAAAACAAACAACAGAACAAAAAAAGATTTAGTGTATGTGTTGAAGGAGAAAATTCAGATACAACTGTAATTGAACCAAGGACAAGGACTTTAGTGAATGTCAAAACTATTCACATTTTCGTATGGACGACTATGTGTATGTATAATCGTGTTTCTTCTTGACATCGCCCATATTTATCGAACAGGAAACAACATTCGTATTGAGTAATGAACCATTTTTAAGAAAAAATACTTTTACTTGTTCTTCGATTTTTTTTTCTTCTACCACCATTTATCATTATCCATCAAGTTTTATTTTTGTATAGCAAGAGTGAAAAAATAGATTTATGTTTCTTTTATTGAATTAGATGATAATCCGTCTCGATATCAATTCCATTCTTTTTTTCCCGCTCTTTTACTCACTTAAGAAGAGTCGAATAACAAATAATAGATTCTCGTAAACAAAACTCCCATATTCTTTTTTTTGATACGATTAGCTATTTGGTGGATCAACCAGTTATTTTTAGATAAAAAAACAAATGATAATTTAAAAAATGAAAAGAAATGGAATGAGAGCTACAAAAAAAGGATTGAGTCTCAATGTTTATTTGATAAAATAAGAGAAAAGTCAGTTAAACCACGTCTGGTTCTCTTTGTGCATTTTCAGAATTTGTAAAATATATTACTGTCTTTATTTTCCTTATTCACCATGTGTGACAAGAGTTCCTGGACATAGACATCTATCACTGGTTATAATAGTTCGTATTTTGTTTGCCCTAATAGTTTCTTTGAGGTTAAAAGTTTAACAGAAATTGTTCATCAACAATTATACATAGTTGTCAAAAATTGTATTGTTTTTAAGGAACTTATATTTGACAAAATGTGTTTCGTCTGTCATGTTTGAAATTATATTCAAGATGTTGTAGGTAAGCATGAGTAACTTTACTTTGGTTGATCTCTTCCTATCACTCGCATAGAATAATTTTCATTACATCAGCTGATTAGGCAGGACTACTTCTTTGACGCAATGAATGCCATCTAAAAGCATATAACTGCACGAGATGTACAAAAGGAAGAAAGCTAAGAGCAAGTCTACGCGGGAACCGAACGAAACTGTGACGAAAGAATGTTCGGATTTAAGTTTTACTTGAAAGTCTAAGAATAGATAGGTGATTTTCAGCTTTATAGCACTCTTTTGAAAAATAAATATAATCAATTTTGTAGTCGGTAATTTCAGCATTAATTTAAGATAATTTAACTTAGTTTTAGATTTACAACCGCTTATCAGTTACTAAAGACTCAGACAGAACTTATTTCTGAAAGCATCAAAAGAAAATACCACGACCGGTTTCAACCTTTCTTAAGCCTCTCGTCAGGTGATTTTCTTCGAGAAAGACAGAGTTAAGACATAACGAGCAACACAACTTCGTCCTCACCGTGCGAAGGTGTTATAATTCCTTGTTCTCATTGAAGAAAGAATGGTAACTTTCACACGATGAGAACATAGCGCAATATCACTGGCAGCTGCACATATTCTGCTCCTCTCTATAAATATTTCTTGTCATTCTGTCAGAAATGATTTATTCTTTAACATAAACTGTATCGTGTAACATAATTCAACAGTCTAAGATTGCAAAACTTATTTAGTGTTTTTGTTACCTATATGTCTTCTATCTGTTCTTAGACTGTCAAGTAATGTTTGGGCAAACTCGCTGCTAAGCTTTAATACTATGAAAATCGGAATGTTTGTATTTTTTCCACCGATTTCATGTTGTTTTTTAGCTTTTTCAAACGAAAGAACTATTTTGTCCTCATTTCAGAGGTTTTTTTGAGAACTTGAGAGAAATCTCACGCGAAATATCTTTATTCGTTTGGAAAAGCTAAAAATCACATGAGATTAGTAAAAAAAAATAGAGACACCCTGACTTTCATAGTTTTAGTTCTTATTTCGGTGTTCCTTCTGGTCATGTATCAAGACAAGCCACCCTCAACAAACTTTTGTCTAGAGTGACTCTGAGGGAGTTGTAATTGCATGATCCTAAAATACATAATACACTAGTAAAAGACAAGCTGTTTTGTAATTAGTTTTCTGTTATTTTGCCGAGAGGAAATCATGTTTATTGTTCAAGATAATTATGTGACAGATAATAAAACCTGTTTTACACTATATAATGTTGAAATGACATTAAATTTGTTAACGAGAACCTGTTTAAACAAGAACCGGAAGTATAGACTATACATTTATAAACAGATGAGACAAATGTCAAAGCTCTTACTCAAGAAATTCATGTTCTTCTTCAGAAATGTTTCGATTTTGTATTCGACAGGTAATCTTGTTTCTATTTTAATGAGTATAATCGTCAATTTCTCTTACTCGACTTCGAATTTCACTATTATAAATAAAGATTCTGCAAGTTCATTCATGGATTATACAAATCATGTTTTCTTCACCAGTAAAGTGTCTTTCTTTCAGGTAGTTCCTTTGGATCAAATGCATACTGTTTCTAAATGATAGACAAATGGTCCATTTGATTATTCGTTTGCTAGTGATAGTCGTTTGCCATTTCAATCTTATCAAAACTTTATCTGAGCCACCGCACATAAACACAACATCTGGTCAATTTCTTGGTCGTCAAATAACAATCAGAAATGTTCCGGTACAACAATTTTTTGGTGTACCGTATGCCGAACAACCACAACGTTTTGAACTACCTGTTATACGTTCGTATAATCCGACTCCTGGAAACGCTACACAGATAGCGCCCGGATGTTTGCAAGCTCCCGGTGGTCTCAGTTACGGACCGTTTGATTTATTGGATCTATATAATGAAGATTGTTTGACAGTGAATATATTTGTACCCCACGAAGAACGAATAATAAAGAAAAACAAGGCAATAATGGTATTTTGTCATGGTGGTTCGAATCAAGTTGGAAGTGCATCATTGTTTGATGGTAGTGTTATAGCAGCATTAGGCGATGTTATTGTTATTACCATCAATTATCGTTTAAATATATTGGGTTTTTTATCGCCCGGAAAACATATAATGAAAGGAAATTACGGGTTGCACGATCAATTATTGGCACTCAAATGGATATCTATAAATGCTGAATCATTTGGCGGCGATAATCAACGAATAACGTATGTTGGACATTCAGCAGGCGCTGCTAATGTTGCTTTAATAGCAATGTCAAAGAAATCAAAGGGTTTAGTACACCGTATTATCTCACAAAGTGGAAGTCCACTAAACATATGGTAAGTGTTTATAAACACATATCTGAAGTAGTAACTTCGATAACTAATATCTGATCTATCAGTAACTTCATTTTTCTTTAGGGCAATTGATCGTAATCCGTCTATTAGATTCAATAATGTTGCAAAACGTAATGATTTTAAAATAAAAAGAGATGATGCCAGTAAACGTGCAATAGTTGAACATTTAAAAAAACTGACACCGGATGAGTTTCGATACATGTATCATTCGGGACTGGAAATATCACCTGATTATCCATTTCCAATAATAGATGATGATATATTAGAATCAAATTTAGAACAGATGATTCTCGAAGAGCCATTTCGAAATGTGGACATGCTAATCGGTGTTACAGGTAAGTTTTTTTGATTGAGAAAAACTCTTTAGGCTTGTGTTTGTTTTCAGCTGATGAATCATTGTATTTCGCCGAGGAACACATATTTCATCATTATTTACCGAGAAAATATCGAACTACTCCTACGGTTGCTACCACTACCACTCCATTATCATTGAACGCAGTAAAACATCAGATTGATAATGAACAACAGCCAAAAGGATTTTCTTATTTTAAGAAAAATAAATATATTAAAAAGTATCTACAAACCAATTATCCTGATCATTTGTGCTTTCATGATGAAATAAAAGCACGTTACATGCCGAAAACCACATCAAATATCAGTGAAATAGCGGGTTTATACACAAATTTAGTGAGGTACATAAATTTCACTTCGATAAATGTAAAATACTAACAAAATTTTCTTAAATTTTTTCTAGTGATTTGATGTTTTATTATGATTTAATACGTTTTTTACATGAACGATTAAAATCTAAACCACAAGCGAAAACATACGCATATTATTATACTTATCCGCCAATATTTGATTTAGAAAATGTTTTAAGGTTGGTATTTTCTACGCCATTAAGTTGATTTTTTATCATCAAATACTGTCGAATATACTTTAGACGAATTCCAAATATGGTGGGTCACTTTGCTGAATTAGATCTTACATGGGGAGTACCGTTCTACAACAAAGATAGTCAAATAAATCGTGCTTATAGTATGAATTTATCCTATACAAAGGAAGAAATTGACTTAAGTGAACAAATGATACATTACTGGACCAATTTTGTCAAAACTGGTAAATCTTATATAGTTATAAAATAGAATGAATGAGTATTTAACGATATTTTATTTTATTGAGTTTAGGAGACCCAAATGAACCAAATAATCTACCAGTTTATTGGCCACCATACGAAGAAACAAACAAATCATTTATTAATTTTCATGCATTAAAAATTAAAGCGGAACAATATTATTTAGAAGAACGTTTTTTATTTTGGGATATGATACTAAATCGTCGAACGTGTTCACATTTTCGATGGTATCATACAACATTACTCGTTGGAATATTTATTTTTGTCTTATTTCTAATTTTTACGTACATTTTCTATAGTTCAAGATGTTCAAGACGAAATATCAAACCGACAGAAGAAAATGATGTTTTAACTACTTATCGTTTTCTTCCAATAACCTAATCGTAAACTAATAGATGCCTCTATTTTATCGGCTATTCTATATTGATGGTGTTAGAACAAAATAAATCATAGACAGATATTAGTTTTGTCGGTTATTGTCGGCTTCTAACAAATACTTATTTATATCATTATGTTTGTGTTATCATCGTGGAATCTGGAGTAGACACAAGACATAATAATGTCTTTTGGGCTTATAAAACAGTTGAAATTTCTGGACGTTCTTCAAGAACCTTCTTTTTCCATTGAATGTTAGTCTTTTTTTTATTAGAAACTCGCTGGCGGGTATCTTTTTTTCATGTAATTGGAACCGTTTTTCTCCATTATAAAAGCAGAGAAATTCTATCAGTTCTAGCCTATATAGTAAGTAACATACGGTATAACAAGGGATTAACTATAACAAAAACAGCGCGATTATCGTTCATTAAAAATTACTTTGACTGGAAAAAATTTCTACAAAATTTCTATTTCTCGTACTTTACTCACAGATATTGTCCTATTCAAAACAATAAAACGGTTCTAGAGCTATTACTGTGCATAGCTTATGGATAGTTGTTTAGGAGATGAAATCAACTTTATCGATATCTACAATTTATGATCAGAGGCATACATTTTCTAAAACTCAAAAAGGTATCTTCGTTCAACAAATTTCTCAAATGCTATATATAGCAGTAATTCACAAACGAATGATTTCTATCAGTAATTTGTTCACAATTACTAGTATCATTTAATCAACCGTGATACATTATTCAATGAATCAAGTAGAAAATCAGATGATACTAGAACGCGTTATCAGCAATAGAAAAACCGTTATTAATAGATTTTTTGACGTGCAAGTACGTTCCATTAATAATAATCATAAATGTGATTGGTATCATCTGTCAGCAGTTATTTAACAAGGTTTGTTCTGTGAACAGATATGATCTGCGGGTACAAAATAAAGAAAATATTTTGCATATAATGAGAAAGTTGATCAACTTGATTTACGACTAAAATGTCTTTTTTTCACTCATACCTTACTCTGTTCAATAAGTCAGAACCAATGTTACTGCACACAAAATTTTTTATTAATGTGGATTCCTCATGGACGTAACAATTTAGAACAAATTATTACCATCATATCAAGGATATGATGACTTGATGGTACTTATAATAGAGAAGTTTTACTGTGATAAAGATATTTTAGATTGTGATTATCAGAAATCAGCACGGGTCGGACCGAACTCAGAATTTTTAAGCATACGTGGATTTGTAACTTTTGTGTATACTCAGTACCAAGAAATCATAAACATATAAATATTAAGTTGAGAAATACATTTACATCACTTAGTCAGCAAAAGTATTACAGATGCAAGAAGAAAATCACGCAAAGTGGTCGGGCCGGGCCAGAAAAGCATTGGTAGATAAGTTCTACGTTTAGACGAACCGAGCCGGGCTTGGTCCGGAAACTTCAATTATCGGGTCGGGCCGGCCCAAAAATTTTCGACTCGTGCGGATCTCTGATGCTTATGTCATTTTAAGAAATTTTTTGAAATAAACACGAGAAATCACATAATAATCGCTTGATATGTATAAGAAATATACAAATTCTGTCAAAAGGCTTAATGTATTTTTCTAAAACAGATCTTTGTTTCAGAAAAATGGTTGAAAAGAATTTTAGATTTTTGACTGCACTCGCGTTGGATACGGCGTAATATCCATTTGATCTCTGTTATAATGTTTTTATGATTTCTCTTAATCATAATAGTTCTTTGTCCAAATTGACTTCACTCATTTTGATTGTATTATTGAAACATCTTAATGATTATCATCATCATTAATTGTTTCACGAACAGTTGATACATCATGAATAACGATGATCATAACGATGGTGTTTGATTTCGTGAGACATCATTGTTTTGCAACACTGTTTATTACAACAATGTTGGATTGTGATGTTGATAATTCACTATCACAATCTATTGAATAATTATTATATCGTTGCGATGTTGTTGATATTTTTTGGATTATTGAATTACATTTTTTAATATTTATTTATTTTTTATCTAACCAATGTGATGTATTGTTTTCAGTGTTTTACGACAAAAACTCTTTAAAATAGTTTAAGTTCAGAACCAATAAAGCTGATTTTTTATCATCATTTAATTACGAATTCAAAATCGGTCTAGAACTCGTTTGCTAACCCTGTTGTTGTTGTTGTTGTTGTTGTTGAAGGGACTTTAATAATCAATAAAAATTCTCGGCTTTCTCACTCAATCAGAATGTTTTGTCGAGCAATGATCGTTCTTAAATCGATTATCGTGTGTATATTCGCAAAAAATATAGTAAACTTTCTTATAATAATCAGCATACATGCAACAAAAAGATATTTTGCATTTTTTTTATCAACCTATTTACAATTATAAACTTGATCATAATCGAAAAAGTACTGTCGTATTCCATTTAATAATTTATCATTTCTAAACATAGAATTATGAGCAGCTACCATTCAATCTCTTGTTGTACGAATAAGATCTTTAGAACGACCAATATCATCAGGTAAACAACGTTTAACACACTGAAAAAAAAGAAAAAAATGAGAAGTGAGGTGAAGAAGAATAAGCAATGATGAAACAACTTACAAACTAGGATTAAGAGATCACCCACTCATACATTTATCGATTATGAATGTAGAACGTCATAAGTAATAAATACATCTCTATTAACAAAATGATAACTAATATATTTTATGCTAAAATTATGTGACTATTCTTAATGATATGGAATTTTTTTCCTTCAAATCTTTGTAGATCACTTTAGAACACGCTTAAAAAAGAAAAGGTGAGGTACAAAAGACTTTATAGTTACATCAGGCTAGTTTCATTACAAACAAAAACGTAGAAGAAAAAAAAAAGTATGAGAGTGAAATGAAAAGAATAATTTTTGCTCTACTCATAAAATTTTGATGTTTCGTCCGTGTTTTTGCTCTGAAATAGAAAGGAAGAATACAAGAAAAAGTAAAAAAAAAATTTTTTTTTTGTTTCGTTTTATATGAGTGTGACACATTCTTTGTAGAACAACATTAAGGTAGAAGAAAGAAAAATAAACTCATGTAGGCTTCCTTCATTTTTATGATTCACTCAAACAGTTGTAAATTTCTTCTTCTTCTTTTTCTTCTTCTCTTCACTTTTTTTTTAATGTTGACCGAGTCATAGTATAGTATAGATCGTCGACATCGATAAATGTCTTTTTGTACATGCTATTAAAACTTTTTTGATAAACAACAAGACTTTTATTTTTGTGGTTTGAGAATGGTTGATCTGAGAATAATTAATTGTGTATAATAATTATCATCAAACCTAAACATGGTAAGATTTTAATACTAAAATTATTTTGTCTATTTTCACGAAATATTCATTTTCTATAAGGAATAGATCACTTTAGTTTAAATCTTACCCTTGCTCAAATAATCTATCTAAGAAAGTTTTAAATGATACATTTTCTAACAGATAGACCTCATGCTATTTGAATAAATTTATTTTCCTGATTTATAGAATAGAGGCGAGTTTGTGTGATTCAAGGCATGTATCACCAAAAGCGTTTATACTGATTCATTTTTACTACTTCGTTGTTGGTCGTTTCCAATCTAATAGTGGAAAAATTAAATCATGAATCTTACTATTGTATAAAGGCATTAATAAATATTTTGATCTTTTATTTAGAATGATCCAGATAGAGGCATTCGGACAGATTCAACTCGAGTTTTGTCCTATCGTGCAGCCATGAATACAACTCATACGGCTCCACTAAATAAACGTAAACGAAAACGTATTGGTAATGAAATTGATTTATCAATGATCAATGCTGATCTAATTTATGTAAGTATTAATTAGATCTTAGTTCAAAAATAATACGATATCTATATTTTTTTTTCTTCTATTCAGGATGAACATCAAATTACCATAGAGGAGTTAGTAATTCGTTTTGATACTGATCTTAAAACGGTAATAGACAAAGAAAAAAATCTATAATTTGTTACTAATAGTTTTTATTTTATTATTTTAGGGTTTAACTCGCATTCAAGCAAAACAACGTTTGGAAGATGAAGGTAGAAATTATATCGAACCACCTCATGTTAGTTTTTCCAAATCGTGTCAACGTTTTTGGTTACAACCTTATATCCTTTTTATATCCATTCTCAGTTTACTTGCCATACTCTGTTTTGTGGCATTTGCTATTCAGTTAAATACAAGACAAGATACAACATTTGAAAATGTATGTTAAGAAAATTACCTTTTTTCTTTTTACTTTAAATTATAACATTTCTTTTTTGTCTTTATTCTATTTTAGCTTTATATGTTGGTGGTTTTAATTATATTTATATTATTGCCAAGTATTTTTACATTTGCAGTTAGTCATATTAGTGCAAATAAATTACAACATCTTAGATATCAGATTAAACAGGTACGTTTAATGCTACAATCAGTCAACATTGATGCTTTGTTAACCTGTTAAAACGTATAATAATTGAATTTTTGAATAATACTGATATATTATTAAACTAATTTCAATGAAAATTGATTTTGATTATTTGAAGAAAAAATAATAATAATTTTTTCTTTCACCATCGTTATTATAAAACTTCATAATGGAAGTTTGATGTTAAACAATGATTTATTGTACTGAACTTCTAAAAAATAATTTTTTGTACTCGATGAATAAATGGCTGTATGTTGTTAGTTAAACCGTTTAAATTTTAACCCAGCTTATATATTTTGTTGTTGATAATATATATTCATCATTGAAGGTTGGGTGTCAAACAGATTATAGAAGATCTCTTATGTAATTATTTTCATTGTTGTTTCAATTCATTATTTAAGAAGAAAAAAAAAGAAAACCACACCCTACTTTAAAATTGATACATAAGATTTTAGTTTTTTTGTCCTTCTCGTTGCTAAAAAAGTTAGTTTTTGTTGATGATCATCCTTCACAATCATATGTCATCAAATACAAAGGGGGGCGGAAACACACACATACACGTCAGACAAATGACCTTTATTAGTTTCATCGTTTTCTTATTCTTCAATTTCAAATTTTTAAAAAACTAAAAGTTTAAATCATGCATGGCCGAAGATAAACAATCATATTCATTTTTAATCCAATAAGTTACTCTGATATTCGACAACGAATGCACTTCATCGTAAAAAAATGTCAGGTAAAATATTTCTTCTAACAATAATAATTTTGATAACAACAACCATAACAACAACAACAACAACAACAACAGCAGCAACAACAATTGGAATACAGTCAGAGTGCGAACCTAATGATCAATGGGAATGGACACAATTGTTCAATGTTCATCGTCCAACTCAACAAGGTGAATATGAAATGTACACGGCCATACGCAGTCTTTATCCACAATTAGTATGTGCAAATCCGAAGGCGATATCAGCAGTGAATCAAATGGGAATGGATATGAATAGTACACTTGATGTTGTCGTTATTCGAAAATACGATGTATTTTGTTTGAATAACTATGATGCTAAATATCAACGAAAATTATGTGATGATTATAGTGTCAAATATTGTTGTCCGAAAAAGAAAATAGAAGAAAAAAGTTCATATCTTATTGATATATTACCGCAACAAACAAATTCTATCCGTTCATTATCATCATCAAATGCCAATAAACAATTCACATGTGGAAGAGCATCGGTTACACATCAAACATCGACCAATTTCTTTATGACATTATATAATTCCTTTGTATCTAAAATTATAAACGGTGTTGAATCGAAACCCAACAGTTGGCCATGGTTAGTTTCAATCGGTATTCGTTATCGAGCAACTAATGGTCAATGGTCGAATCGAACGCATATTTGTGGTGGAACACTTATTGAACAATCACACGTACTCACGGCTGCACATTGTTTAGAACAAAAAATAGATGATCGATTTGTCCCTCTTACAACAACAAATCCATCATTGGAAAGTTTTTTCATTATTCGAATTGGAGTTCATGATATTCGTTTAACACGTTCAGATGAAATTTATAGTGCGAAAAAAATATGGGTACACGAAAATTTTGTATCAAATACATTTGAAAATGATGTTGGAGTTATAAGATTGAATCGACCAGTTCCACTCGGTGGTCGTATATCTCCTATTTGCTTACCAACTAGTGTAACACCAAAAAATTTAGAAGCGGGAAGTCGAGTTAGCGTTGCTGGATGGGGAACTGTAACTGAAACAGCACGTGTACATTCAAATGTATTACGACAAGCTGAAGTAAATGTATTGGCATCACGATCATGTCTGGCATACGCAGATTTCAATTTTGATGGGCAAAGACAACTGTGTGCAGCAGCTTTAGATTGGTCAAAAGATACTTGGTAAATAACAATTTTGCTCTTTTTATTACTTTACTTAGAAAAAATAAATTTTTTTCTGTAGCGCTGGCGATTCCGGAGGTCCGCTAATGTTTCAAGAAAATAACACATGGAATATCGGTGGTATTACAAGCTACGGTTACGGTTGTGCAAAACGAAACTATCCCGGCGTTTATCTACGTACAACAGCGTATCTAACTTGGATCAAACAAAAAATGCTTAGTACTTCTTAACACCGTTTTAGTTTTCCATTTCTTTAATGTGTGATTTCAGTTTGTCATCTTTTATGTTGAACAATAAATATAAATGATGTTTGTTAACGGAAATGTGACTCTATGCAAAAATGAGATTTACAGATTATTCTAATGATGAAGTTTAAGAATTTTTTTTTCTTTTTCTATTTTAGCAAGTTGATGTGAAACGTGAAGGAGAATGGGAAAGAATTAATTCAGAAGATCTCGTACGCGGTGATATTATCCATGTAAGAGGTGGTGATCGTGTAGCTGCTGATATTCGAATTGTCCATTCACCTGGTCTACTGGTAAGCGTAATCAAAAATAATTTAGAATAAGTTAAACACAATCATCAGAAAATCTTAATATCGCTTTTGAACATAATTCTTTATTATCTTTTATATCTAAGGTTGATAATTCTATCATAACAAAAGATGCTGATCCTGCTCCAAAATCAGCTGATTTTACAAGTGACAATGCATTAGAAACGAATGTAGGAGATTTATGAACTATTCTTACCGTTTAAAAGAATAGTATTGAAATTTTTATTATTATTTTAGAATTTACTTTTATGTGGTACAAGTGTTACACATGGATCGGCTATTGGTATTGTTGTTAAAACAGCTCAACATACACTATTGGGAAAAGTGTGTAATACTACCGAAAGTATATAAAATTCATATAAATGTAAAATAGTATTTTAATAAGTATTTTCCATCAAGGTCTTGATCCTAAACGAACAATTTATGCTCGTACAATTCGAGATATTTTTCTTGCATTAACCGTATTTGGATTAGCATTAGGCTTAGTATTTTTTATTGTTCTCTATGCAACTGGTTATTATTGGTTGTATGCCATTCAGATTATGATATCTGTTTATCTTGCCTGTATACCAGAAATATTACCAGCTATTGCTCAAGTAAAACACAAAATTCATTTTTATCTTAGTCACCATTATTATTGTTTTCATTTGTTTTAGTTATGTTTAACACGAACAGCTCAGCATATGGCAACAAGAAATTGTTTAGTAAAAGTTATTGATGCCTTGTATGATTTGGCATGTACAACGATATTATTTGTTGACAAATCGGTGTTAACCACAAATAAAATGTCAACGACTCAAATTTGGATACCATCGAATCAAGAACGAATTATTTCAGCAGCACCCACAGATGATCCAACTGGTACCTCATTTTTTTTCTATTAAATAACCCATTCTATCTGACTATTTGAATATTTTAGTTATTGAAGAATTTCGTTTAATGCCTGGCTGGCAAAATATAATGCGTGCAGCAGTATTATGTAGTAGAGCAGAATATTTTGCTGATCAAAATAATTATAATCGACTAGCACCCTTTGGAGAATGGTAAATATATATATTCAACATCATGAGTAAAACAAATACTATCCTAAATTTTTCTTTTAGGGACGGTGATGCAAGAGAAATAGCCATATTGAAATATGCTGAGTATGCAGAACTCGATATTTCAGAAATTCGACGATTATATCCAAGACAGAGAATAGCACATTTTACACCAGAAACGAAAAGAATTGTAAGTACAAAATTGTCATGAAATGTTTATTTGATCCAAACAATATAAGTGGAAAAAAAATTTTTTTTTGTAGGAATCATATCATTTTATTAATGAAACAAATCCAGTAGTACATCTTGACTGTATGATGGGTGCGCCCGAACGTGTATTTGGTCGTTGTGCGGCAGTTTTTTTCAATGATGATGAAGTAGTAAAAGATGCAAATATGGAACGATTATTCAATGAGGCCTGTATACAGATGGGTTCACTTGGAGACACTGTTCTTGGTAAAATTAAATACTTCATTTTTAAAATATTTTTTGAATAGCTTACAATCAGTTTTTAAAAGATATTTTTTCATTTAGGTTTTGCCGATAGACAATATGATCGCGGAGAAGAAAATCAAGAAATCTGGCGTTTTCTTGGTTTAATATCATTCAGTGATCCAATACAAGACAATGCTATAACAGCTATTAAAAAATGTCGTTTAGCCGGAGTTAAGGTATATGTTCATTTTTTTTTTTTTTTCGTAAGAATCGTAAAAACGAAGTATTTTCTCTTTACAGGTAATACTGATCACTGGTGACCATCCGGTAACAGCATGTGCACTAGCTAAACGATTAAAAATATTCTCACCAGATTCTGAAACTGTTGAAGATATTGCCATGAGGCGTGGTGTTCCTCTTGATCGTGTAGCAGCGCGGTAAGTACAGTACATTTACATATTAACAACTAATCATGAGTTATTTATCTATTTTTGTATAGAGAAGCTGATGCTATAATTATTCATGGCCGTGATATTCAAGCCATATCACAACTAGAATTAGCTGATACAATAATCAATGCACCAGAAGTGGCATTTGCTCGTACAACATTGCGTCAAAAACAAAAAATAGTCGAATGTAAAATATTTTTTATCTATAGTAAGTTAATAAATAATAGGTCTATCTCTATCTTATATAGGTGCTCAACTCGGTAAAGCTGTTGTAACATGTTTTTGTCAATCAGCTGATGATCGTGGAGCAATTAAAAAAGCTGATGTTAGTGTAGCTATGTTGAAAGGTAGCAGTGAATCAAGTCGACAAGAAGCTGATCTTGTTTTATTAGATAATGACTTAAATACACTAGTGGGTGCTATTGAGGAAGGTATGAAATGTTAAGTTTGATGAATTAATATTCTATTAATAATAATAATTTTTCTTTTTTAAAGGACGATATTTATGGGAAAACATTAAAAAATGTCTTGCCTATTGTTTGGTCATTAACGTACCCGAATTAGTTCCATTTCTAATGTTCCTTATTTTACAGATACCGTTGACACTTGGTCCAATAACATTACTGATTATTGATTTAATAACGGAACTTTTACCAACAATAAGTTTGGCATATGAAAAACCAGAATCGGATCTAATGACAAGAGGACCAATAGATAAATTTCGAGATTTATTGATTAATCGACGGTATAGTCTACTCACTGTGTTTGAAAAACCAATCTTTTAACTATTTTTTGTGTAACTCCTCCGATTATTGATCTTAATAGAAGTTTCGATTTTATACTCAAATCTTTAGCTATTTCGCTAATTTTTATCATATCTCCCTCTCCTACAGACCGTCAGAAAATGACACTATAGAACTAAACATATGGCTCTACAGATGTAACAGATCAGAGCGCAACATTTTTTTCCCCTTTTAAGTACAGATAAAACTTCTAAAAGTTAACATAATAGGTACACCACTATCTTTGCCTTCGGAGGAGTTTCATATTTTAGCTCTGATTAGGGGTACGCTGACAATTTTCTAAACTATAGTTTATTATCATTGGTTTGGGGACAAATTGGAATGTTACAAGTGACAGCTGGATTTTTTACCTATCTTGTTGTTATGGCCGAAAATGGATTTTGGCCATCCAGATTACTTGGTAAAGATTTATAGAAATAAGTTTAAGTCTCTTTATTAGTATATATATATATATTTATTTCTTTTTAAGGTATTCGTAAAGCATGGGATGCAGCCGCCATAAATGATTTGGAAGATTCTTATGGACAGGAATGGGTATGTCTAATGACAACATAAAATAAATTAGAAAATAATATCTTATTTTATTTATTTAGACTTATCGTCAGCGTAAATTATTGGAATATGTTGGTTATGCATCATTTCTTGCCGCAATTATTATTGTTCAAATAGCTAATTTACTAATATGCAAAACTAGACGATTGTCATTATTTCAACAAGGCATTCGATCGTAAGTTTATTCTATAAGTACATTAAAAATAATCAATTTATATTGTATTTTAGAAATCTGTTTGTTATTTTCTGTATAATTTTCATGCCAGCAGTTGCCGTTGTATTAATCTATATTCCTGGCCTTAATCGTGCACTCTTTTTGGAACGATTACAGTATGTATATCTATTAAATAATATCGATAATAAAATTTTACGTATACTTTATTTTTTCAGACCTTTATGGTGGCTACCTCCTATTCCATTTGCTATTATGATATTTATTTATGATGAAATACGTAAATTAATGATTCGAAAAAGTCCTGAAGGTTGGGTAGCACAAGAAACATATCACTAAATGTTTGGTGGAAGATTAAAATCTATATACACATTTGAATCTCAAATTTTTAATCTATATGTTCAGAAGTCCATCCAACTTTTTATTGTTAATTTTGTAAATTATTTAATTTACAATATTTTTTATTTTGTATTCAATTTCTTTATATAATTCGAAGTTTTACGTATGTATATCTATACTTATCTATATATATCTATATATATTTATATATATATATTATAGGTTGATTATTTTGTTATGTAAAAATACCTCAAATTCTTCTTCTTTTAAACTGAATTTTTTTTTTATTGATAAATTTTTGTATGCTCGTATTTGTACGTTTTTTCTCTTTGTTTTAAGGAAATAAATACTTTTAATTTGCACAAAAAAACATATTTGACCATGAACCAATATCTATCTGATCTTTGACCACGTGCCATAGTCCAGTGCAAATGCGAATAAGAAAGTATGTAGATTTAAATCGTTCAAAATTGGATGAAATAAGAACTTCAATAAAGAAGAATGCGTCAGCACTGTCTATCCTTTGCTAGAATCTCATCCTCGTCACTTCCATTGCAAATGCTTATTAACGTACGTTCCAGGACTGTCAAATTCAGTACTAATTATCTTAGCAATCGGAAAAGTTGTTCATCTCATTCTTATCCTATTGTCAAAGAAGTGGATATTACTTTTGTGAAGTATCCCTTAGTGTTGTACGTAGTAATTTAGGTAGAAATTAGCAAGTAATAGGTATAACTATGGTAAATAATATAAATCATGTCAACTTAAAGAAAAAAATAAAGTTCATTTAGAGTTGTGAAAAAGTACTTTTTCGTATACACTACACTCGATAATCTAGTAGATTTTCTATTTTTAGCGAAAGATACTGTCAAAAGTTTAAGAATGATTTGAAGTTAACATTATTTTCCTACGGAAATGTTTTTTCTTCATTTTATTTGGAAAATTTTCCTAAACTGTTGACAGTACCCGTTGCCAAAAATACAAAATCTACTGAGTTATCGAGTGTACTGAATAAGAAAAAGCTCTTTTCCCTGACTTTGTATGAATTTGTTATTTTTCTGTTGGTGATATATTGTTCAAATATTTAGCTTTATTTATCTATATTTTATATCTAATGATTATACACGCCTATAATAAAGGTATATTCTTATGGAAATATATTTCATTGTATAGAGCGATGTCTGTCTTTCTCATAGTTTCTGTTTGTTTTTATTGATAATAATGTGCATAGAAATATTTTTATTTTTAAATAAAATATTGTGTTGATTCATGTATGTATTGATATTAATAATATTTTTCATTCTTTTTTTAAGAAGATTAATCCAAAGATAAATTTTCTTTTTTTAAAATATGTAGAAACTACTAGAAAGAAAAACAAATATTTTTTATGCATTCTATTCTATTAGACAGTGCTTTAGATATACTTTATAGCACACAGAGCAAAGTTAAAAGCTTAATTTAACAACGAGTTAAATATGATTAAAAAATACAAATACGTCGATTGAGAACAGAAGTAGCAATCTTTCTTTTCTGTCATCAATTTTTTTTCTCTATTAAAATATGTTTATTACGAAATAGAGTTTATTTTTTTCTACTAGAACATTTTTACGTAATAAATACAAAAAAAGAAAAACTTGAGTATAAAAAATTCCATAAAAATAGAAAATTATTAGTGTGCACTTTTATGTTGTCTGGTCTATTTATACGTAGTTTTTGAGTACTTATTGTTCCATTTAGTTTTTTTTTTCTTCGTTTTTTCAAGCATGTTAAACTTCTGACATATCAAGGAAGAAAATTGTGTGTCATCATTATCATTGAATGTTGTACTAGTGAAGGACAAATTGATTTTGATAATAAAAAAAACTTTCATACAAATAGTTAATAATTAAGAGTCAATCATGAAACGTTTAATTACATTACCAATTTCGGTTTGTCTTTTCCTTCAAAAAGAGGTTAACTTATGAAAGAAGTTCATTTTCGAGTTTTTACTTCTACCCAATAACGCAAAGATGTTCAAACGTTAGAAGAAGAAAAACAACAATATCTATTTATTTGTTCAAAATTTATCGATTTATCATAATCATACTTCATATGTATGAATAATTCATGACATTGTATCCGTGATATCTACTTGAAAACCTTTTTAGATAAGATTGATTAAGATATCGTCGTGAGAAACAAGATAGAAGCACGAGTAAGTAGTAAGTTGTCATCGTCTTTGTTTTGACTAGACAAGACCTCGATTTCCAGGCTTGAATAAATACAAAAAAACGTTAATTTGTTTTTTTCACCATTGTCTGCCGACTGATCGAAGATGGTGTGTGTATGTATTTCTCAAAAATTGTATTAATTCTAGCACACACATTTCTTCAGTTCAACTTTTTTCTTTTTTTTTGTCTTCTCTTCAAGGTTCTTACGAGTGGTTCTCTTGAACGAGAAAGAAAAAAAGAGACAACAAATAATATGTTATTATGTGTAGAATTAGATCAACTAGTTCGGTAAGAATATAATATACTCAGGTGATAGATCTTATATATATATATTTCAAGGTTATATAACTGCCAAATTCTTTCGTCAGTTATTTTTCTTTTTTTGTTCTTTAACGTGTGATGTATAATAAATGAAAATCTATGTTCACGCAAAATGAAGACATCAATAGACTAATCAATTCTCTCAAGACTAGACAAAAACACATTGATATAAATTGTGTGTTTCAAGTAGTTGTAAGTCGTCTTTATCGAGTGAAAAAATAAAGAAGAACACATGAGCAAATCTTGGTTGTTGATCATTAAAAACTATTCTATTTCCGTGACTATCATCCTGTACAAACTATCATCATTGTATCTACGGTTGAGAAATTAAAATGGTAATGAAGCATGCTTTTCTTTTTCCACATTTTGATTATTGAGGTATTGTAAAATGTCATGAATTATGATGATTTAGAAAAAAATTTCATATATGAACTAGTACCAACCAATTACTAGTCTATTTTAATCTGTTCAAAACAAGAGTGATTGTTACGTTTTTCTATTAATAACAGATGGTTGAATCAAAGACATTTTTAAAGAAACTTCGATTTTACTTATTAATATTTTATCAACAAATTAAGTAAAAATCATCAATTAAAGTTTTTAATTTATTTTCTTCTGTGATATATCTGGACGAAAATAATTTCAACAGTAATGTTGAGAATAACACAACAAAATTCTTATAGAAAATGATAACAATAGTTCTTATTGTTTTCTGAAACTCTAACATAAATTGCTTAAAATAGAACATTATTTTTATATTGCCATAATGATAATGATGATATCGAAAGTAAGATATCATATCGCACGAAACGAGCAATTATGATAATGACGGAGTTGTGTCATCATTGTGTACCATTTTTTTCTTACATACATACACGCGCACACATAAAAAAAGAAAAAAAAAAAAGATTGTCTATACGCACGGTTGATTTTCAGAGAGGAAAAGGCATAACTATAGAAGAAGGAAGAAGGACAAGAAGAAAAACAAGTGATAAAATCCTTCAACAATCCAGGCACTATATTATCGAGGGAAATATTGTGTGTTATCTAGAATGAGTAGTACATTTTACAAGTTAGAGAATAGAAGAGAGAAAAAGAACAGAGAAAAAAAAAGCGAGATAAAGAGAGGCTAAAAAAGAAGAAATAGAACACCGCTACGCTTTTTTAAACTACCTGAAAAACTTACTGCGTTATTTTAAAAAATCATCATGGTTTTTCATTCAGTAGTTCACTCTTCATATTTATGAGCATAAATTAAAATAGACTACAGTTTTTTTACCTTCAAGGGCTTTTTACTAAACCCAAAAGAGTTTTTCAATTTTTTCAAAAAACCTTCTTTTAAAAAACCTCCAGAGATTATTTTAATATACCATATCGATTTATTAAAATAAAATACCCTACGGGTTTAGTAATCAACTCGATGGATTGCATGAGTAGAATGATAAACTTTTAAGGTTTAGTAAACGTTGTAATAAACTTCTTCTGTTTTATAAAATACCGTTTTTATTTTAAGAACTCTCTGTCTGCCACATCCTGAGGTTCAGCAACTTTCGTACATGTTTTTAGATTTTTGAGTATTGAGAAATGAATCATTCTGGGTTCATTATCAGGACTCTTGAAGCATTAGAGTTTCTGAAGACACTTTTTTTAAGAGTGCAATAAAGCTGTATTGAAGTATATTTTTGTGTTAAATATATTCTACTAGGATAAAACATTTGTCGATCGAGTAAGAAATTTAGAATGGATTAATGTTCTCTCAGTTTTGAAACTATAACATCATGTCTAGGTAATTGTCGGTACCGGTACCAAGCGTTCGGTATCAACCATTGGGACCGTACTGAAAGTACCGAAGCTCTCGGCATCAACTCGGTACCGGTACCGAAAGTACTGAAGTTTTTTTCATTATCTGAATCTATTTCTGAACGCACAAAAAGTTTTTTCCTCTTTAAATCGCGAAGACTCTCGTTCATTAATTTTTTTCATAGGTATCGAACTTTTCGGTACTTTCCTTGGTACCGAACCGAAAGTACCAAATGATTCGATACCTAACAGGGTATCAAACCGAAATTTTCGGTACTGTGCGAAAACAGTACCGGTACCGAAGTACCGACAATTACCTAATCATGTCCGTACACAAATTTCTGAATCTTTCACACATAGATCACGATTCTTCTGGATTTTTCTACCATGCTTAGGTCAAAGAAAGGTACTTGTAAAAAAGTGAGATCACTCACTGTATCTACTCAAAATTATATGAAGTTGAGTATTTAAAATCTTTTTTTTAAAATAATATAGTTGTTGTCAGATCAGTAGTAGTACATTGAGCGAATATTGTACTAGTCATATGTGCAAATCAAAAGGAATCGTTGATAGATTAGTGCAAAAATTTCAACACGTTCTTAAACTATGTAGTGTTTATATAATACATTAACACGCAAAAGAAAATGTGATTAGAAAGTATACTCTACT